TGCCCATTGACTTGGTTATTTTGCGATTTGATCTTTTCTCGCATAATAAGACCCCCTAGTTCATCGAATATCATAAAATAAAAAAAATTTACGTTAAAAATATATATATATATATAGGAAATGGAAGACGACATTAATGACTTTGAGTTTGTCACTGGCAGTACTGCACACCTTACTATCCCTGATTCACTTGGTATTTATAACATTAATCAAGTCGAATCTTATAGCGACAATACCTCTGTATGTCCTATCCCACCAGGCTCTCCCGCTTATTCTTCCTCCATGGCTAGTTCACCGAGAGAGTATTCTTCGAATCTTGTAAACAGTTCCCAAAATGGCTTTCCGTTTCCTTATCGTGATAATCCTGAAGAGGCTTCAACTACTCAACTGTTATATACTTCTTTTGATGGACCCATTGACACAAATAATGGCAAATGTCCGATAGGCAATGAAGAAGATAATGATTATCATTCTCATTCTAATACATCTTCAAAACGATATGCAAGAAAATTATTGATTGCTACAGTAATATCATCATTCTTTTTTTTCTTGGAGCTATTCGGTGGTTGGATTGCTGGGAGTTTGGCTCTGCTGAGTGATTCGTTTCATTTATTAAGTGGTGAGTTTCTATTCACTAAGAAACTACGTCTTTATATCACCTTTTGATTGCATCCTAACTAAACATGCTTGTAATGTCAGACATAATAAGTTTTGCTATATCACTTTTATCTATATACCTTGCCCAGAAACCTGCTACTAGATGTAAGTAATAAAATGCTCATCTTTTTTGTTATTTAATTGTCGATCCGGACAAATATCGGCTCAATTGTTGCATTAATGTAATAGTAAATTTTAGTAAATTTTGAGACAAAATTATTATGATAGTTATTATATACTGGAATCTGACAAATGGATGATTATTTTTTTACTATGCAATTGCTACTTGGAATTCTCATGAAAATTTTAGAGACAACCAATACGGTTCTAATGGTGGTAAAATTTCTTAGTAAATCACGAGATGCAAATTATAAGATTTTCGCGATCATATGTGCAGATCTGCCAAAAAATTTATTTACCTACATCTTTGCGATCTATTAGTCTATTTTAGCGATTTTAGCAATTTTATCACTATTAGAACTCACATTAACAATTTTATAGCAAGAAAAATTACTTATCATAGTCATCGTGCTGATTTTATCTGGATTAGAAATTAAAATTTTTTTTTCACCTTGCTTATATTAACTATGTTATACTCATTTGCCTTATTTAACCACTATAGCACACTCGTATGGCTATCATCGCGCTGAAATTTTGGGTGCTCTTGCTTCAATTATTCTCATATGGATTCTTACCGGATATTTATGCCTTGAAGCCTATGATCGAATACAATACCCAACAGAAGTGGATGGTCCAACAATGTGTATTATTGCTTCTATAGGTGTATTTGTTAATATTGTGTAGGTTTCAATATTTATACTTAAAGTATTTATGTCAATTTTAATGTTAATTTTTAATGTTAATATATACCTTATTTTTTTAGCTTGCTTTTCATTTTAGGGCACAACCACGGCCATGACCATGGTCATGGTCATCACCATTGTGGTGATAATGTTAATGTTCGAGCAGCTGTGCTTCATGTTTTGGGCGATCTTCTCTCATCAATAGGTGTTCTAATTTCATCGATAGTAATTACAATTGATTCAACTAAATCATGGGTTGATCCGTTGTGTACATTTTTCTTTTCTGCTCTCGTTATGTTTTCAACGTTTGGAATATTGCGAAGTAGCTTAAGAGTTTTAATGGAGGGTTAGTATTTTGTCTCCTTCTATTGATCATGTATACTTGTGAACTAAATATTCAATTTTATTATTTATAGCTACTCCATTTCATATCGACGCAAATGCCGTAAGGAGTGACTTAGAGAATATCCCTGGTGTAAAGAGTGTTCACGATTTACACAGTATGTCCTAGTCATCCTTTGTTTTCTTATATACATACTATATATTTTTGTATATGATACTGTATTTAACTCATCTTTGTATTATATATAGTATGGGATTTAACTGTTGGCAGAGTAAGTTTCTTCTTTCACTTTTACTTTCTTTCAACTTAAATCTATTTATTATATAATTCATTTGGTTGATATTCATTGCTATACATTGCTATACATTGCAGACAACTCTCACTGCTCATCTTCAGCTTAACCCATATGATCCTGACACTCAAGAAGAACCGTTAAGGCCTACTGATATATTAGCAAAAGCAAGACATATGTTGAAAAAAGAATATGGTATCCTCCAGGTGACTATTCAAGTCGAATAATTTAGGTTTCATTTTTTCTCAATATTATAATGCAACATAATGGGAGGTCGCGTTTTTCATTTAGTTATATAATTGTACTAGTTTTATTTGTTATTACATCATAAATAGTATACTTTGTTACTATACTACACGTATATTAATCGTAGTTTATTTCTTAATTGTACATCGTTTTCAAAATCATATAATCATGTAACAACTTTATTTAAAACAAATTATCAGATTCTTAACTAGATCCTGCGATAAATGTCCATCAAAAAAGAATAAAATAATCACTCCTAGCAATTTCACTAACAAATTTCACCAACAACATTAATGAGTCTTTCAATTGCCTTTTTCTCAATCTGATAATGCACTACTAATCTCGCCATTGTAGATGCATCTCCAAAAATTTTGATCCCATGTTCTTCCAACTTTTCCGCCAAAACATCGGTACTACTAATTTTCGTCGTACTCGTATCAATAAATACCATATTAGTATGAACGGGATTCACGATCCGGATGCCAAGTTTCGAAAGTCCTGATGCAAGTTCACGTGCTAAAATATGCGTTTCCTTTAGTTTATTTGGATAATTTGTTTCGAGTGCGAATTTCGCCGCCGCGGCTAGTGGACCTGATTGATGCCATCTTTTTCCGAGGGAAGTATGTTTATAAACATCGTAAGAGAAAAAAATTTTAAAAATGCATATTAATAATACATAATTGGGATTTCTGATGGATCGGCAGTACTATCTTGATAGGATTAAAAAAAAAAAAAATTATTTGACTACTGTTCTGAAAAAGTTCTAAAAATGAACCCGATCCTAATTTTTTTCATATCTGATATACTTCGCTATAGTTATAGTATTTAGAGGCTCTTTTTTAGAACCCTATCAGGAACGGTGTGTAAATCAATTTCTTTTTCCTACCCTGTCAGGAATAGTACCGACGCTCTATCAGGAACGTCACCCAAACTGGGTTGAAAATTTCCAACCGTGACCCATCAGATCAAAAATTTTTTTATCCGGATACCCGAAATTAAAACCGGATATTGAATTAAGACGTTTGTAATCAGGTGATCACTAATGACCCGAATACCTATTGCTTGTATGAAGCTAACCAACTTGAAGCCGTGATAAAATATTTGAATCCGTTAACAGATGACCCGTTCGTTATATTAAACCGGTTTGTTAAAAACATGACCCGGTTGATAATTATTTCGGGTCGGGTTATCAGTTAGACGGTTATCCGGATCAGAGGTTGGATCTCTATACTTAGCGACAATATTTTAAACACATATACATTAACATATAGTACTAACCCACCACCGAATAATTTCCTCAAATGCCTTGCCCTCTTTACAAATTCCATATTACCAACTATGATACTCCCAATTGGTGCGCCTAAACCTTTTGAAAAGCACAAACTCATAGAATCGAATAATTTCCCGTATTGTTTCATCTCAATTCCTGTCTCAGCACTTGCATTCCATAATCGTGCACCATCCAAATGTATTCTTAGACCTCTGTTTCTTGCAAATTCTGAGATCCTATAGAGTTCTTCGATCGGAAAGATCAGACCATCCAAGGTGTTTTCCAAAGAGATTACGCGTGTTGGAGCATAATGGATGTCTGTATCTGGAATAATTGAGGATTGAATTTCAGAGAGAGTTATGTGTATTTTATTAATTGGGATTAAAGGAGTAACCGAAGCGCGAGAGTGGAATGAGATACCACCGGTTTCGTAAACGTAAGAGTGAGAACGATGATCACATATAATTGAATATGGTGGATATGATAGATGTGAAAGGAGTGCCAATTGATTTGCCTTACGCGTATATTTGTTATTGTTTAATCAATATATAATTTTTTTTTCATGTTTATTTTTGTTATAAAGAGATTATTTTTAGATTAGAATGAATTTTGTCTATTTAAATCGCTAAAAAAGGGAATGTCGATACCATCGTTCCGGATACTGTAAATAAAGCAGCTTCATGTCCTGTTAGTTTTGCCACATAAGACTCCAAGTCATTGGTTGATTCATCTTCCTAAAATGATATCATATCGAATATAACATAATATATAATTTTTATTAATTGTTATTTATTGTTATACAATAGTATAATTACAATAATTTAGGAGTACATACACCATAAACATCATCACCTTTTGAAGCTTTTATCATTGCCTCAAACATTTGCTGCGTTGGTGTTGTTACTTTTTTGTTTTTTTTTGTTTTTGTCATCAACAATTATGAAATTAAATTCATTTTAGAACATTGATTATTGATTTGAAATTTCACCAACCCGTATCGCTTCGAAAATCATATGCTACATTATGATCTTTAAATTGGGTTGAACTTGTTGAATGATTATGATAATAACGATAAGAGTAATAACGGGATATATCATAAGATATAAACCGATAAATTTTAGTTATTCGGCGAAGCATTCTGTTATAGAATTCCGTTATAGAATTCTTTTAATTTGTGTCAGGGACACGGAAATTATGTAATTTATTTAAAAATAGTATTTTATTAGTTGAGCGCAGTATTTAAAAAATTGTTTTTGTTTTAGATAAAATTTTTTTTTTTTTTTACTTATGTAAAAAACATTAAATCACTTTTTATTTTTAATCGTCAGCAGATCGCATATTTTACATATCGATATACTACACAAATAACGCGTTATTTCTAGAAATAACGTTAAGATCTACATGACGGACACCGAAAATTATTTATATTATTTTATTCTATAATTTTTAGCGTCCCTGAAGATGACTGAATTAAGTAGATGCGGAAAGTATTACAAAAATACCGCAGAATTAAATTTTTTTTGTATATCGATACGTATTCAAAAAGTTTATCGTTATCGTCATACAAAAAAGTGTAGAATTCCGATTCGCATTTTTATTTTTGCACAGACGGAAAAACTGTTTTTGACTTTGTGCTAAGCGTGAGATTTACCCAATCAGATTACATCATAATTCTAATAAATCACAAAAATTTTCTGAAGAAGAGCGCTTAGCTTTATAACTCTGTTGCTCTGTTAGTTAGTTTAACATTTTCTCAATAATGATACGAAAAAACAAAAACAGGTAAAAAAAAAAAAAAAAAAAAAAAAAAAGAATATTAGTAAATGGGTTATAATATTTAAGAGTTAATATCTAATTGTATATACATTTTTTAATTAGCTATTCCACACCACCTGTAAGATCTTATAATAGACGTAATTCAGCTAATGGACAAAATGGCACAACTTCTACAGAATTTAAACTAAATTCCAGAATGCAATTTGGTTTTACATTATTGGATATTGATGGAGTGGACAATATTAAAGATATAAAATTTCAATTTCAAGAATTTTCAACTAATGATGAAAATATTCGATTTTCCGAATTTTCAAGTAATGATATAGCAAATAGACCACCAAAAAAGTTTATTGTGAAAAGAGTTCCAAAACAACTTCATAATAATAAAAATGATAACGATAATGATGTTATTGATGATTTGGTAAATCAATTAAAATGTGGATTATTGCTTCCATCAATAGAATACGATTCTTTCAGTACTACAGATAAACTTGAAGAATGTTTAAATGAAATTTCTCGTGAAATAAAAGCTACCAATACTATTGAATCTCGATCTTCTCTTCAAAGGAAACAAATGAGAATGTGTATCTTTTTTGGTCGCGAAGTATTTACAAGAGTCAATAATGAAGAATTTGACGTTATGCATTGGGCT